ATGTGGCCAAATACCTACTTCGCTTTGAAATGTTCAGCTGGAGAGCCTAGGCTTAAAAGGTGCTTTGAAATCTTGGTCCAACTGATTTGTGTAATTTGGCAGCATCTGTGTCAGCATTAGGAAATAAATCTTAACGTCTCAGAGTGGCGATTTCTTCTCAATACCATTTTGCTAATATTACCTACAGATCTCTGACTGCTCATGATTCTCAGCTCAGTCTGTCCTCCAAAAATCTGGTAGATATGACAGAGAAAAGGCAAGCGCGAACTGTGAGAAAAGTAAAGCAGAGTGCAGCATTGTGGAATTTCCTCAGCTAATTGATTTTCTGTCTGTGTTAACAAGACAATACATAGTATCATTTACGAAGGCAACATATGCAGAATATCCAGAAGATCACAACCCATGACAAAGAAAGCTACTTGAAAGAGCTTTCCATACTAAATCATTTCATGCATATTCATAACTTGATTAAAATCTTAATATTGTAAACTTGTAAGAAACCCAACATGCACAGAATCAGCTTTTATTTACTTAAACCAGAGTCCGAACATGGCGCACACATTAAAGATGTCAGCATTAGTCAATACTGTACACTCACATGTGTGTAATACATATGTATGTTAGCCTGCAGATAAACATTTATTCCCAAGGGAGGCTGCTAATGAGACTGTGCTGTAGGGAAGATATCCAATTACTCTGAATGACATTTATATTTTAATCACATCACACTCACTGAAGAGCTCAAGGTTTGATGAAGCAATCCTTGAAAGACTGTCTTTTAAATCAATTAGCTCTAGAAACATCAGCAATATGCTGTTGACAAGTCATTGGGCTAAATATACTACAACACATGCAAATTCTTCTATCTTCCTACCAAGACAATGATGTGGTCTTCTAAAACTTCTGAAACAGATGAAAAATTTTTCCTTGTAGGAGACACCTAAAGCAGAACAACATGTATTTTCCTAAGAAACTAAGACATCCCTGCTGGCAATTACAGGCACACTCTGAGCTACCACTCAACGAATTTTTAGGACAGATGAAGAACATTGTTTTAAGGGCATCACTCCTGTGTACAAATACCGGATTTGTTCACAGATCTTTTTACAATTGCCTTAACTCAATAAAACCAAGTCAGTCAAAACAATTTGCTTTCATCGAGCATTCAGTAAGTGACAAATGCCACTGCCCATGTGGAGCAGATGAAAGACTGGCCACGTGTAACATGCTTTAGCATTAATCAAGCATCTTAAGATGCTCCAGGTCATAGGAATAAGTACAAAATGAAGAAAACAGAGATGCAAGACCCTAATTCAATCATTCTTCAAATTAGTGTTTGATTTCTTCTATAAACATATACACGCTAACAGTTGTTATATTAAACAACAGACCATTTCTACTTCTGAGACCTTACATGAAAAATATCACTTTAAAAAAATCCAGTTCTGTAATCAGATAGATCTTAATAAATAAAAAACTAAACAAACAAAAAATACGAAGTGAGAATTGATTAAAGTCAAGGTTTAATTGAAAAAATAATTGAAACTGCATAATGCAGTAACAATGTAATGGTCAAATTATAGCGTGAGAATGTTCTTTGCCTAGTAAGTAGCAAACCACCTACGCTCGTTAGGATCGTTCAGCCCAGTCAAAAGGTGTAAGGCTAAACATTTTGAAAACTAAAAAAAACATGAATTTGTTGATGTTAAGGAACTGGGAAAAATTGTAGGGCAGAACAGAAATATCACTATTCTCCTTACAGTTTGTAACCTGTGTCTCGAGAGCTATTTTGCTGACGGTACTAAAAGAACATCTATTTACCTTTCCAGTAAAGTGTGCATCAAGCATGTTTTTGACTGCCAACAGTTGTGTTTGGGTTTTGTTGTTGGTTTTTTTTTTTTCAACTCCTGCTTCTGAATTTCAGGCAGCTGTAGTTCTAATAAATCTCTCCTAACTAATCCTTCCTTCAACAGTAGTAAATCCTAAGGGCTAAAATGCCCTTCAGCACAGATCTTTGTGAACACACAGAAGCTTGAGTTGCTTAATTTCGATACCTAAACCAGTCTTTAATTGCTAAGAACACAACATCTAGAAGTGAGTCAGTTGTCATCATTATCCTCCCTGAATGTCTGTTGAATTCATCCCAACCAATACACAACCATCAAAAAAGTGTATTATTACTTGTGTTGATTTGCATGATAGAAGAGATCTTAAATAACAAGTATAGATTTTTGCCTTTGGTGGGATGACTAAAGTTGATAATTATGGTAACTGGGGGGGAAAAAAGGTTGCCAGTCTTAAGTATAGAAAATAGGGCTGTTGTTGCTGTAAAATACATTCAAATTGGCAATACATTCAATTTCAGCAATCATCAACATAAGTTTTCACACCTCCATTTTTATGAAGTGACATTTATCACCAAGCTAAACTACAACATGGAATATGCACCTTTTTCTTTTGCATTTTATGGTACAAAATATGCCAGTATATTACTCTGAGTTATATTAATCAGTAGGCTGAAGATAAAGAGACATCTGGGAGGCACAGATGGTTCATGATTGGCAAACAGCTATGGAACCATTACCTTCAAGGTCAGACTTTTAACACTACAAAGGTAGATAGTGACCCAAAGCCATCAATACCTTTTCAGAATGAACCAATTCTTTTCAGTCCAGTTCCTGGTGGGCAAGTTTCTATGTCACAGCTGGCATTAACAACAGAGATAATCTCAGACCTACTAGCCTCAAATCATTGATGTTAATGGCATTCCTTTCCAAGGGAGGTGGGAACTGTACACCCTTTTCATTCCTAGAAATAGGTTCTGCAGTAGACCTTACATTGCTGCTGCATGGATTCCAGTTCCAGGGCTTCCAAATCTACCAGTAATTGTTCATTGTTGAAGAGATATTTCAGTCAACTCAACACTCCATAAAAATCCTTACCCTTCTGCCTACAAAACCACAGAAAACACAGTATTTAAGCCCCTAAAACACTCGTATTTTGAAACTTTTGTAATTGCCTCTTTAGAAAAACTAAGACAAATATTGAATACTATTTCAATAGCAAAAGATTACTTTGGTGTTAAGATTATCTGAAGACAAAAATTATTCTTCTGGTCTACCTAGAGATTATATTCTTGCAACCATTACAGGCAAATAAAGTGCAGTTCTTCACGAAACTAAGCACCAACGTGGATTTAGAACACTATGGTGTTCAGTACTTTTAGATGTCAATGACTGCTCTAAATGACCTATTACAGTGTCAGAATTATTCCCCAGAATTCAAAGAAGGCAGGAGCTGAGCTATCTGAAAACTTGAGAATTGCTTGCACAGGCATTTGCCATTATGGCAACTCTACCAAAAGCTTTTCCTTTAGCCACACCTCAGCTGATTTTAGAACAACAGTATAAAGAATAGTGAAAATTACAGAATCTTTTAAAAGAGGAAATGAAGACAGAAAACAAGCATAACCAAGAAATTACTACTTATAATGGGTCATGATTACATTACATGGTAATAAGCTATATGAAGAGATGTCTTACTGGAGGGTGCAAGTGATGAATTACACACACAATCATAATAAAGAAAAGGTTCTGATGCAGCATCAGATTCTGAGGTCTTTGCTCACCTTGTAATTCCATATATTCCAGAAAAGAGTTCTGCTGAGAGGAACAGGTCTACTTTCAAAGAAAGATGCAACTGAACTGAAAGGTATCAAAGGTACCTTACAGGTTTTTGAAGATATCAAAGTTTATCCTAAAATGAAGTGGACTACACTTACCAAACATGTTGCAAATCAAAAGGTTTGCATCAATATTCAAGCAAAATGAGCACCCAGAAAAAACTCAAATACCAGTAAATCGTGCAAGTTATTCATTAACCATGAGAGGATCAGAAAGGAATGGCATCAAAGCATCCCAGTATCACCAGCTGTAAGTCAGTATCACGGCTTAATAGATGCCCTATACTATTACTGCCTGCACCTGCGACCAACAGCATCCATCGTTAAGTAGACAAACAAGTAAACAGTACCAGAATCGATCCGGTTTCTGTGATACTTCCGAGAGATCACAAAGACTGAGAATACTCAAACGTTAAGCAACTGAAATGCAAACTTATATGAAGAGTGGAACTTTTCATTGTTCAAATGCGTGGAGAACACAAGCTGCCAGGAAGAAGAAACAGGTACAGCCCTGAAAAGAAAGGGGGAAGCCTGCCTGAAGTACACAGAGCAAAATAAAACCTAACAGCCTCCTCCTAAAGAAGGCAAAAAGAAAGAGTGTTCCTGCAGCGATAGCGGCACATCTTTCGGCAACCCGATTGTCATGACTTTCCTTCCCACCCACCAGCGTGCAGATATGCTTCTCAAACCCGGCTGCGATCCATTACATCTCACGTTCAGGCTGAGGTCCTTCCTCGGCTCCAAGCCGGAGCTCTCCCACCGAGGGTCCCTGCCCCAGAGCTCGCTCACTGCGGGTTCCCGCTGCTGCAAGCCAGCTGTTGAGGTGCGTTTACAGCCTCGGCAGACGAGACCTTACAGCAGGAACTATAATCGTCCAAACGAAACCACCAGCAGGGTTTGGGGTTTTTGGTTGGTTTTTTTTGGTTGGTCGCTTGCTTTTTGCACGCTTCTCTCGCAAACAGTAGTTTCTCCGACAAAAAAAAAAATTTCCCGCAGGTCTTCGGCAAAATCCCAGGGCAGAGAGGGGGGCTCCCCGCTGCTCCTGCAACGACTCACCCCGGGGAAAAATTCCTTCCCCAACCCCGGACGGGGGAACGGCGGCAGCCCTCCCCGCCTCGCTCCGGGCTCCCGAGAGGGCCGGCGGCAGCCTGGGGGGGGCCTCCCCCCCCTCACCGCCCGAACCCCCCGGCCCGGCGATCCGCGCCCGGTTGTGAGGAAAGACTCGGGCACCAGAGCGGCCGCGGGCGACGAAGGAAAGTTGAGGCGGTCTCGGCGGGCACCCCCCGGGG